TAATTCTGTTTGTGTACTTAACAACAAATAGAATATAAAAGAAATAAAGGAAATGAGAGAAAATTGTTTGATTACAAAAATCAAACTAGAAATAAAATTAAATAAATAAAAACGTATTTTATTTTGTTACAAAAATAAAATTAAAATCTGATTTAAATAAATAAATAAAAATAAAATCAGAAAATAAATAAATAACTTACTTGATTAATATCTTGAACATTATTCTGATCAAGACCAGTGTTTGACACTGCGTCCTTAAGACATATTTGTCCTCTCCACGATACTTTCAGAATGTGAACATCTATCTCCCAGGATAAAATGATCAACTACAAACAATAGCAGCACTACAAATTGTTTGCCTAACGAATACACTAAGTGTTTACACTCTTTTCTTACAGAAATTAAATGCAGCAAAATGTAGAGAATTATAGCACAAGTCAAGTACGAAAATTGGAGTAAAATCCAAATGAGGGACTAGTCTATTTATAGAGGTGAAGTGGTGGCTTGGTGGCTGCTAATTTTCAATTAAACAGGTACAATACCTGTTCAATTTAAATTAAACAGATAGGCACTGTTTGGTTTGAATTTCAACCAATTCAAGAACCTGTTTTGATTTGAATTTGAACAGAACAAATTCAATTTGGACAGACTCGGATCTGTCTGTGAAGAGGTGTAACAATTTGAATTTAAAATTTAAATCTAGACAGAAATTCAGAATTAATTTTTGGACAAATTTTATTTCAAAAAATAAATTTTAAATTCAAATGTTTTTTGTCCAAAAAAATTAGTATTGGGCCCAAAAGCCCAGCCCAGCCAGCCCGGACAGTGGTGCGCGCGTGTGGTGATTTTTGGGTCCAATGGGTCTAGCCCATAACCTCCCTCTCTACAAAACTTGGGTACCCCCTGGGGCACACCCCAAGTTCCAATCTCATGCCTTATAAACCCACTCAAAACTTCCCACCAAATCAATGTGAGACAAGCCACTTTTCAACTTTTAAGGATTTTCCACCAAAACTCCATTTTCATGGAGCACACTTTGGCTTCAATTTTCCATTCACTCGATAATGGTTTTGAGCAACCAAGTATACCACATGAATCTCAACGCGGCATAGAACGCGTTACCACTTTGACCAGCGAAAATCGACGCACGGATCCCACCTAAAAATTAGGCCAAAGTTAAAGAAAAAATTCTGGTTTACCCAGAATTTTCCCAACCATTTCCAACAAGAGACACAAGGGAAGCAACGTGAGATAAGGGGAAAGAACAGAAAAATTATATTGTGGAGCTAATTGATTGGCTGCCCCTAAAACATTGGTTTTACAGGGCACTGATAATATGGTCCAACCTCTAATTATTATTATTTTAATTATTGGGCACAATAATAATAATTGTAATAAATTTATTATAGTTATTATTTTTTGACAGTGGGGTATTCTAGTATTAACATAAAAGGTGATGAATTGATATGATGAGAGCTTAGGTGTAGTGGTAGATTTTATAATGTGGTGGCTAATAACAGGCCCATAAGAGACGGTACAAGTAAAAAAAATTTCCTTATATATCTTCAAATGGCATATAGTCATTGCCGCCAGATTCAAAAGACAGTTATAACAGTTAGCAGCTGAGAGTTTACACTGTGAGCAAAAGTTTGTTACAGAAGTTGTTAAAGATTAACTTTTTTTCTGGGTACAAGTGCAGAGAGGGTGACGAAGAGAGGTGTGTGTGTGGGTGTGTGTTTATATTCAAGTCCTAAACTTTGAGTTCAGCTTACTTTAAAAGTACTGTCTAGAATGAAATAAAGCAGAGTCAACTCTTCTAAAATCAAATAAATGAGTTTCGCTTAGCTTTGAACTGCATCATAATACTTCTATTAGTAGTTATCCTACTATGATATTTGTTGCAACTGATATGGGTATTTAAATTATAGTTATAGCATTTGATCTGATTTGGTTATTGGTTTGGAATTTTGAGTTGCCATCCTTATTTTACCACTGTCTTTTTCATGGATTCCGCATATGGTCCATTTTAGTTTTGTTAACATATAATATATACACCCCACTAACATGTATAGCTGTAAAAGGCCTTGTAGCTGTAAAGGCCACACTTTCACTTTAGCTTTAGCATATCTCAATGTATTTGCCTATGCATCCGATTCCATTTGTCTCCTTCTCCTCTCTATAAAGAGAGGGAGCTCACTCTCTTGTATTGATACAGAAACATAATATAACAACACCAATTCTTCAATTCAGTCTCTCTCTTCTCTCCCTCCTTACCAATCTTTCATGGTATCAGAGCGCAGAAATACAATTCTGGCATCCCTCAATTTTGGTGCTTAGTCCCGTACACAGTGGACTACACCAAACAGCTCGGAATCTCCTTACGGTTCCAACGGCACCAAGCCCATCACCAGAAAAGCTCTCACGCGCTCTCACACACCGCTTCTTTTCTCGGCGCGTCTCTGCTTCCGTTGCCACTCTCACACGCGCTGCCATGCGCCTTCCACCCTGCCCTGTTGTGCGCCGTGCCTGCTACCGTGCACCCGCGTGCGCCGTTCGTCTACCGTGAGCCGCGCGTACGCCGTTCCGCTATTGTGCACCCGCGTGCGCCATTCTACTACCATACGCCGCCAGCCCCCACTGCTACCGTGCGCCGCACGCCTTCCCTGCTAACGTGCGCCGCTGACATCATTTTCCATCCTGCTGACATCATCTCTACACAGCCCACCTTTCCTAGCTATTTTCGACCTTCCGGACTCACTGGTACACTCTGGTTTACCTAATTTTGCTCCTACAGGTCTCTCCCTATCTATTTAGCCCTACTCCACTATTATTATGGATCGTCCTGATGCCTCCCATCCCATTTCCGTTATTTTGGATGGTTCCAACTATGTTCTATGGGCCCAAGCCATGTCTTCCTTCTTCAAAGGAAAGAAGCTCTGGCGAATTATCACCGGGGACATGACCCAATCGGTCAAAGACACTGCTGAAATCACTGTTTCTCCTGCTACTCCTACATATGAAGATCGCCTTGAGGAATGGGACAGTAAGAATTACCAAATCATCACCTGGTTTCGAAATACCTCTGTTACCTCTATCAGTCTTCAGTTTGGTCGCTTTCAGCTTGACTCTGTCACTACTCCTGCAAAAGACATCTGGGATTTTTTGAAAGAACGATACCAGACTACTGGTCTTGCTCATCAATATCAACTTCAGAGCCAACTTCATCGGATGCGCCAAGAATCTAGTCAGTCCATCAATGACTTCCTTATTTTATTTTCCTTTTCAATCTTCATTGTGTCTCTTTCACGTCATTTGCCTCCATCACTTCATGAGGATTTTAAATAAAAAGGGAAAAAAAACTGACACACAAGGAATCACATGGGCTCACAAAAAAGCCTCTCCTCTTTGACTCTTTCATTCACACACCACGTCTGACATCCCCATCCCTCTTGTTCTCTGTCTAACTCATAGGAGAGAAAATGAGTCTCTCTCCATTTTTGAGTAATCCAATCATCAATAGTTTAGTTTTATTTGGGCTTCGAATACTAGATTTATACACTTACCCCTTCTTCAGAGAACTTCGGGCTTTGAATTCATTGTTACATAAACTTTTGTTTTTATTGCTTCCATTTTTCGGTTCCCTCCCTTCTAAACATGATTGGATCATCAGTAGCTTTATCTACCATCAAACCACGCATTTGTCATAAATAGTATATTTGCACGCCCCTTCTCCAAAAAACACGGGCCTTAGAATTCGTCATCCATCTTGTTCTTGTTACATAAATTGGAATTTTTTTTTAAAATGTCATTGCTTCAATTTTTTTCATTTTATTGTTATTTCATTATAAATTTAGTTGGTACCATTGTTTTTAGAAATGTCCTTGCTACTTTTATTTTGGTCTAATAAATATAGCTTGTATTAGTAGCTGTAATTTTTTTATAAACATGTCTTGCCACCACAAAAATAAAATTCTAGATTCGTCCCAGCCTAATACTCATTCATTGTCAACAAAGCTACTTAGCCCACCAAAAGCACATCATGCATTCAAGCCAACCTCTGATTATTATGTCAGATATGCATATCCAATGTGCACATATCTTTCAATATGCTCTTAAAAGCATTTTTATTTTTTATTTTTAAAGTTAAGTCATTTAAGGAAAACTAAGACAATGAAAGTAATATCTCACAAAGATCTATTTAAAATATAACATGAGTAAAGAACATACTATGCATGAACTGTTAACTGTCATTCAACATGTAAAGTATACAAGCTTACAATTAACTTCCAAAGCCATGAACATTGAATGCCTTATTGAAAATTGAAATATAAAAAATTTACAAGTACCAAATGGGGTCAAATTGGATTGCCTATGCCCCATCAAAGGCCAAACCAAACTTTTGGTCAGTTTAGGGGTTCCAACTGTAAAACATAACATAAAACATGCAGCGGAATAAAGTGTTTAGATCATACCTCGTTTGATCTAAAACCTCGTGGATAAATCACGTGCTTCCAGAATCTAATCAATCAATCCCAGCAGTGGGGTGATATTACAATGGTGAATATCACCCACACAAACCACAGTGCAAAATGACTTGATCGTTGTTTCTTGGGAGAGAGTCAGTTTATGGGTTGAAAAACAAAAACTACGTTGTTTCTCTCTTGGTTACCCATAACCATATATCAGATATATATTATATTATTATTATTTATCCATATCAGTTAAAATTGATAATATCTATATCCTGAGTGGTTATCCTAAATAGGTTTGAATTTAATTCAAAACCTATTTGGATAAGATCCAAATTATGTTCAAATGGTCATGCCACATGGGCGCCCATTACTAACAATTTCAAATGAAATGTTGCAAAGAGATGAGATAAGGAGAGCACCATTGTCTTTAGAAAATGCAATCCAATTGGCAATACAAAGTTGCAACAATAGAAATTCAAATAATGCAGTGTACAAGCTTTCGTTACCAGTAGAAAAATGAAATGTTACCTCAACAGCAGTTCGGCCTGCAAAGAAAGGCAAATTGTCCACACCCATGGTGAGGTACTCCTTGTTCCTGTCACCACTTCGATTAGTGTAAAAAATATCTGGGTCAGATTCTCCGATCTCAAGTACCCACGAAGGAATTGGAATGTTCACAGCATCTCCTACATTGCCACCACATTGGTGAAATGACATTATAGCTTGTAGTCTATGTCCACACTCTTGAACAAGTTGGAACAAGCTTCTATAGGCAGTCCAATCATACTGTTTTGGACCCTTGGATTCCACAATTCCCCACCACACATCCACCATGACCCCATCAACCCCTGCTGCTCTCAGCTCCTTGAGCTTCTTCTTCAGCCCATCTTTGTTTTCCAAAACATTGTCAACTGTAATAACTTCCAACTGCCATAAAGAAAAAAGAAGAGAAAAGATGTATCAGATGAGATCAGTGTATAGAGTTAGTTACTATGATTGAAATTATTGATTTATGGAACTTACAGGGAGCATGACATAGAGTGGCACATAATTTGCTAGCATCTTTTCATGATGCGTGAGGAGAGTTGGAGCCTGCATTTTTTTAGCTTTGCCTTTGTCAGAGAATACAAATGGATGATGAAGAAATGGAGATATGCTATGGTTTGGTACTTTACTATTGTGGTCTTACATTCTTTTATAAATGGTTCCAACGTTATCTATAGAGGAAAATGATGTGTGCCCAGTGAGTCTATTATTTGTTAAAGTGTATGGATAATCCATGGATAATGTGTCTGCAACGGGCCGGGTCTGAGATTTAGGGGCTTAAGGCGAATTTTAAAAATGGGACTCCTCTTGCATTGAAAAAAAAAAATTCATGGATAAAATAATAAGTTATAACTTTTTTATTTGTTCGTAGTCACAAAAAAATTTACTTGCAGATATAATCATTAAAATTATAAACAAAACAATTTAATGAAACAAAATTACGGCAAAAAAATTAGGAAAAATTTATTCAATTAAAACTGATAAAGATCTAGGTAAAAAAATTGGGACATATTTATTCCACTAAAATCTAATAGATAAAGAAGGTAAAAAAAAAAAAAAAAATTAGGGCTCATATATTATATGTATTGTTTTTCTTGGGCCCAAACACTTTTTTTTTTAATATATATTTTCAATTTAATAAATATGGGCCAAACTACACATATAAATAAATATGGGCTAAATAGACCCAATAAAATATTTTGAGGCCCTTTAAATTGATATTAAATATATATATATATATATATTGGGCCTATAACATTTTACTAAATTTAGAGACTATTTTTTGGTCAAAATTTTGGGGCCTTAGGCCAGGGCCGGCCCTGGTCTGAAACAGTGTCTCACTACCCATGCTGACGATGTGTCATCAAGTGGTTCACGGGCAGAAAATCCAACATTATACAGAATGATGTGTCTTGTTATGATAGCTTCATTTAAAAATGTTAAACTCATCATTATGAACAAAATTTATTAGTTTGTCACTTCCACATAATTCTCAAAATAAATTATGTATAAAAATTTTAGTGCTGTATATTGTTTTCAGATTTTGAAAGGTCCCCAAACTTTAATTTTTTTGTCCAAAGTCCCAAAAAAAATGTACAGAGATTCAAATTTCATTGTCAAAGGAGTTCATGTAAATCCTAAAACACATTTCTATCTAAAGACTTACAATAAATCTCTTTGTCGAAAGCCCATAAAATAAATCTTCTTGATTAAAGGCTTCAATTGTAAATGTTAAATTATGCGTCACTTCTAAAATTCATACAATTTCAATGATATTTTTTTTTTGAAGTGAAAGGTTTATATATGAATTTTTATTTGTATGGCATTTTTTTTTGGTTTCTTATGAACCAAATGCTCATGTTTTGCATGAAATGATGTGTCATTTACTGGGAGATGATCATCAAAAATAAAAACAAAAACAAAAGCAGAAAGACTATTCCCCCCCCCCAAAAAAAAAAAAAAGAAAAGTCAAAAAGTGTCCAAAATATCAAATTAATGGTGTTTATTTAAAGAAGTTGTGGACTCATATATGAATAAATCTTGACCTTTGATGAAAATTTTTGAATTATTTTTTGATTGTTTTTTTTCACTTAAGCCTGGTTTGACAAGTGATTTTTTTTAGTTAAAAAGTTAAAAAAGTTATTAAAAAAATTAAAAAGTCAAAAATTCATACAAAAAAATCAGAGATTCTATTTTCTCTCTACTTTTTGCATATCTTTTCGTAAAAAGTTAAAAAGTCATCTCAAACATACTAATTTTTTTTACATCACATTTTAGCCAAGAAGTCAAAAAGTTACTAAAAAAATTTGTTCCCAAACGAAGCCTTAGTAGACCCACCAAAACAAAAGAGAGTTGGATGCCGGGAATTTCGGTCAATGTGATGATTTTGGATTAAATTTTTTGAATGATTTTCTGATTGTTTTTTCTCACTTATACCCACTGAAACAAAAGAGAGCTGGATGCCGCGAATTTCGGTCGATGTGATCATTTTTCAGTCAATGTGATCATTTTGGCCCCATTGACTCGAGGGTGATTCTACCTACCTACATTCAAAATATTTTCCCACTAATCTACCTCACATATATGAAAATTGTGCCCTGTTTCCAACTTTCTATCCTTTTACAATGAAATAAAGGATTTACATCACAAGACCAAATTATGGTTACATTAAATACCTCCTTTCTCATAGGGAAGCTGTGAAGAGAAGCTTGAGGGAGTGTATTAAAAAGAATTTGACTTCTCTATGTTAGACTCAAATATCCTCAAAAACTATGAGAGGGGTTCACTAGACATACACTCATTTCCTAATTTTTGGATGGGATAATCCAATCAACTAAAGAGAAGTCCAATCCTATTAAGAAATGTCATTAGCTCCTTGACCTTGACTAGGAGCATAAGTTCTAAAGTAATGATACACAAATAGCATATTCATACAAAATATTTGTCTAAAATGATGAGGTTCAATGTAAACCTTTTACTTACCAATAAAGATGATTTTTATTTACAAAAATGACATTATCACATCACTCTTGTGATAATTTTTGTGTAAAATTTTCTCTACGGTTATTATTAATCTTTTTAAAAGGGTAATGGCACACAAATAGAATTTTTGTACAAAAAATTTATACAAAATAATGTTTTTGTATGGTTTTTTATTTTTTAAGGTAAAACATCTATCGTTGTTACTCAAAATTACAAAAATGTCACTATCAGTAAAAATTATGTTTGTGAATATATTTTTTCTTCTAAATGACAATAATGACCACGAGGCCATGAAAAAGGGTAAGAAAATCTCAACACATGCAATGCAAGGCTATATTCTCACCAAGCAATATTGGTAAGAGTTTATGAAACAAATAAATAAACAAGGCCCACCATAAGATTTAAAGATGGCTTGTTTACCTCTTTCCCTGTGGTGGAAACCGAAACCTCAGATGCTACAGCTTGAGGACTTCTCACCACACTGCCAATGTCCAATCTCTTAACATAATTTCTTCCTGGCTCTTTCACTTGCCTTCTTCCTCTTTGTACACTTTGAATTTCATAAACTGGTGCCATTTCCGGAGCCATTTCTTGCTCACAAAGTCTAATTCTCTTTCCCGAACCGCCTAGTTTTGAACCGATTGTGCTTGTCATGGTGACAGATGAGGCTTCTCCCCTTCTCACTTCTTTGGAGATTTGTTATCATGTCTTTGAATTAAGAAAATGCTCTGTATGTGAACCAAAAGTGGAAGAGAGGACAGAACAAATATCTAGTCTAAGCATATGCTGAATGTGGAAAAGAAGCAAAAATTATGTGTGGTTGGCAAGTTTTTTCGTAGAGTTCTGCAATTTCGTGGTGGTTTGAATGTATCAATCTTGAATTTTTTTTCATTTTTCATTTGCGTTTTTTTTTTTTAATTTTGTTTTGTTGTTTATCTTCCTTTTCAAGTGATTTGTTTTCTTTTTCTTCTTTTGTCTAGACATTTAAATCCATCGCCTAGGATTGTGACACGAAAATGAATTGCATTGATATTTTTTTTCCAAAAGGTATAAAAATAAGATTGTTGGAAAAGCAAATAGGAAGGAAGAAAAGGGAGAATTCACATGGAGACATCAAAAGAAGAGATATTCCATATGCCAACCAAACTGATCTTTCTTTCTTTCTTTTTTCTCTTTTTAAAACATCTAATTAAACAATTTTATAGATATTTCAACCAGTTGAAATCACTAAACAGACATGTGGGGCCTTGTGAGAATAACTACTGGCCAATCATATCGGATGTGGTACATGTGAAAAATATTCCAACTAAGAGGCTGTTTGGAATGATCTAAATAAGTGTATTTTTTGATTTTTTATGAAATATGGATTGGATTTGGATTAAGTTTGAAATGATGTGTTAGAGAGATGATATGAATTAAATAAGATGATGTGACTTAAATAGAATAGTGATTTTCTGACTTTTTTCAAACATGCCAAACCAGCCCTAATTGTTCCCGGCCTTCCCAAATTTTTCTTCCTTTTGTTCGAATGCATTCTTAGCCGTAGTTTTGTGTGATAATCTCGCGACATAATTGCATGAGTGGAGTGCATTGGGTTAGGGATAAAAAAATTTTAAAAAAAAAATTGGGAATAGAAGATATCGTGCGACTGTTCCCAAGTTGCTAAGTGCCAAGTTCCACTGGACAGATGTCTTATGCTAAACAACTAAATCTATTGCAGGTTTTGGTTTTGAAGATAGAGAAAACAGAGCAGTTCTGTAATCTGAAATCTATACATAGCAGATATTGGCCTAGATTTGACAAGCAAAAAGACATGACACTGGTTGCTAATATGCTATTAAATCATCATCATCTTCTTCTTCTACTCATCTTTCAAATGCGTTTTTTGTGATGTCACTGTTGGACAATTTTCAATATATTTAAAATAATAAATTTTGTTTGGGTATTAAACGACAAAATAGAATACAAAGAAAAATAAGAAATGAGAGAATTTGTTTGATTACAAAAATCAAACCAGTAAAATAAAATAAAATAAAAAAATAAAAACAGATTTTATTTTGTTACAAAAACAAAATTAAAATCTGATTTAAATAAATAATAAAACAAGAAAAAGAATTAACTTACTTGATTAATTTCTTCGAATAATAATCTGATCAAGTCCAGTGTTTGACATTGTGTCCTTAAGACAAATTTGTCCTCTCCACGGTACTTTCAGAATATAGACGTCTATCTCTGAGGATAAAATGATCAATCAACGGAAAATAGCAGAACTACAAATTTTTCGTACGACGAACACACTAAGTGTTTATACTCTCTCTCACAAGAAAATAATGCAGCAATATGAAGAGAATAGATACATAATTATTTTGGACGAATTTAATGAATCAAAATATAAAATGATGGCTAGTCTATTTATAGATGGATTGGTGGCTTTTCATTTTGAATTAAACAGGTACAGTACCTGTTCAATTTGAATTTAAACAGCTGTTTAAGGCACTGTTTGGTTTTGAATTTTGAACATATAACCGAATCTGTTGCACAGATTTGAACTGTCTCGGACAGATTAATTCTGTACAAGAAGAGAACTGGACAGTTTTGAATTAATTTGTACAAAATTTGAAGAGGTGCAAATTAATTTGAATTCAAACAAATTTTATTTACCAAAAATAAAATTAAATTCAAATGTTTTTGGCCCAATCCAACCACACACTCGCGCCGGACTAGACAGATAGCGGCGCGCGCGTGTGGTGATTTTTGGGTCCAATGGGTCTAGCCCATTTCGCCCATAACCTCCCTCTCTACAAAACTTAGGTACCCCTTGGGGCACACCCCAAGTTCCTATCCCATGCCTTATAAACCCATTCAAAACTTCCTACCAAATCAATGTGGGACAAGCCATTTACACAAACCTTAAGGAATTTCCACCAAAACTCTATTTCCATGGAGCACACTTTGGCTTCAATTTCCCATTCATTCGATAATGGTTTTGAGCAACCAAATATACCACGTAAATCACAACGCGGCATAGAATGCGTTACCACTTTGACCCGAGAAAATCGACGCACAGATCCCACCTAAATATTATACCAAACTTAGGAAAAAATTCTGATTTTACCCAGAATTTTTCCAACCATTTCACCAATCCCCTACATGAATGGAATTTGATGACAACAGAAATGCAACAATATGCAGACTTTGTCGAAAGAGTATAAATCGAAAATATCTTGTATCAGGATAGGTAGCTTTCAGCCTTGAACCTTCCCTAGTGATAACCTATCGGACTTACTAGCTAACCAATGGACGTGATGCCTTGAATTGTTCAGTCGTTTGTGTAAGCCAAGACAATAGATTTCACACAAAATATCTTCTAACACATCATGGTTCTCACTGTTGTGTTCATTTTGGCCTTGAACGCTCCTGGTTTTCATGAGTGCTTCTAAAGAATTTAGTCTCTTCATTCTCATAGAACCGGCCCTAGTTCAACACTCATATAGGTGATTCTTATTGTGAGTATCTCCCTATACTCGTCTTGATTTTTATGCCTAAATCAAGATATAAGTAATCATTAAAAGCAAAGCTTATCCTTATACCCCTACAGACAACACATGTTGCAGATATCACTCTCACCATAGGAATGAGTAGGAAATTTTAATCCCTTGGTGATTTCTGGCGAGCCACACATAACTTAGTTGTCCCTTTGAACTTAATTCTTGGGATCTCCAGTCATATAAGTAGGGTTACCATTATGATAACTCTTATGTAATAGGCTTTAATCTCATCCCCTTCGATGAACTATACACTAGCTCTTTTGTCAAACCTTTTGTTAACGGATCTACAATATTCTCTTTAGATTTTATATAATCTATTGAGATTATTCCATTTGACAACAATTGTCTTACGGTATTATGTCGACGACGAATATGTCGTGACTTACCATTATACATATGATTCTGTGCCCTGCTTATTGCTGATTGACTATCACAATGAATGTAAATAGCTAGCACAGGTTTTGGCCATATTGGAATGTCTTCTAAAAAGTGACAAAGCTATTTTGCTTCTTCTCCTGCTTTGTCTAAAGCAATGAACTCAGATTCCATTGTGGATCGTGCGATGCATGTTTGTTTTGTGGATTTCCAAGAAACAGTAGCGCCTCCCAGAGTAAAGACATATCCACTTGTGGATTTTGAATCTTTAGTATCCGATATCCAATTGGCATCACAATAACCTTCGAGTACTGCTGGATATCGAGTAAAGTTCAAACCATGATCATGAGTAAATCTTAGATATCTAAGAACCCGAATGACCGCTTTCCAATGGTCTTCTCCAGGGTTACTAGTGTACCTCCTCAATTTACTGATAGCATAAGCTATATCAGGACGAGTACAATTCATTAGGTACATTAGGCTTCCAATGATTTGGGAGTATTTTAACTGAGACACTGCATCACCTTTATTTTTCGATAAATAAAGACTGATGTCTACAGGTGTTCTAGTTACATTCAAATCATCCTTGATAAATTTACCAAAAATTTTCGCAATATAATGTGATTGAGATAATGCATATCCGTCAGATGTTTTAGTAATTTTCATTCCTAATATAACATCTGCGACCCTCATATCTTTTATATCAAATCTTTTGTTAAACATTTGGTTAGTTGATTTGATCATGTTATGACTGCTTCCAATGATAAGCATGTCATTCACATAAAGACAAACTATGACATATCCTTGGTCAGTGTTTTTAACATAGATACACTTTTCACATTCGTTTATCTTAAACCCATTAGTAAGCATTGCATGATCAAATTTTTCATGCCATTGCTTAGGTGCTTGTTTTAATCCATAAAGAGATTTTACAAGCCGACAAACTTTATTTTCTTGCCTTGGCATTACAAACCCTTCGGGTTACTCCATTTAGATCTCTTCATTTAGATCATCGTTTAAGAAAGTTGTCTTAACATCCATTTGATGTATTTCTAATTTAAACAACACTGCTATAACAATAAGCATACGAATAGATGTTATTCTTGTCACAGGGGAATATGTGTCAAAATAGTCCAGACCTTCCTTTTGTCTGTAACCTTTTACTACAAGTCTTGCTTTATACTTGTCTATTGAACCACCTGCCTTCATTTTTCTTTTGAATATCCACTTATATCCAAGAGGTTTAGAACCAGGTGGAAGATCCATCAATTCCCAAGTATGATTTTACATAATGGATTTAATTTCATTATTAACAACCTCTTTCCATAAAGGTGCTTCAGGACCTGTCATTGCTTTCTTAAAGTTTTGAGGTTTATTTTCTAACAGGTATGTCAGAAAATCTAGACCAAAGGATTTTGATGTTTTCGCTCTCTTACTTCGTCTTGGTTCATCATCAGTTAGATCTTGTTGGTCGAGACCATTACTAGTCTCTTGTGTTTGATTGTCATTAGTCTCTTGATTTTGTGTACAATCATAAGTTCTTTTCTGGGAACTTAATTTTTGTCCTTTCTTGTAAGGAAAGACGTGTTCAAAAAACACAGCATTCCTTGACTCTATAATAGTATTCACATTTATATCAGGTATTTCTGATTTATAAGTCAGAAACCGATATGCACTACTATTCTGAGCATAACCAATAAACACACAATCTACTGTTTTTGGTCCAATCTTAGTCTTTTTAGGAACAGGAACTTCAACTTTTGCCAAACACCCCCACACTTTTAAGTATTTATAGGAAGGCGGTCGACCTTTCCACAATTCATAAGGAGTGTTGTTGATTTTCTTGTGGGGTATTCTGTTAATAACATAATTAGCAGACAATATTGCTTCCCCCCACAAGTTCTGTGGTAAGCCTGAACTTAGTAACATGG